GGCCCCGCCCCTCGGCACGCTCCGGGGTGCCTTTCAGCCGCCCCGGCGCGCCCAGCCGCACGCTCCCTGCCTCCCGAGTCCTCCCTCGGCCCCAGCTAACCCGCCCCAGTCCGGCCTCCCGCACACCTACGCCCCAGCCTTCACCCCGCCTCACCCAGCACACGAAGCTCAGCTGCTGCGGTGGCAAAGTCGCGCGTGCGGGGCTTGTTAGCGCGGCAGACGTAGGTGCCAGAGTGCCGGGGCTGCGCGCTGGCGATCAGGAGGTTGGTGCGGCCCAGGACGATGACATCGGTGGCGATGGGCTTCCCGTCTGCGGGAGGAGAAGGGAGAACGCTGGAGGGGGAGATGAGGACTGCGCCTCCATCAGCTCCCCGGGCCTCGGGGGTCCCTCTACACCCGGGCGCGGGACCCGGTTGGAATCTCAGCTTTTCCACTTTCTAGCCTAGTGCCCGTCTCTGAATCTTAAGTGTCTCCCTCTGTAAAATGAGATAGTGCCTAGCTGGAAGGACTGCCGTGGGCGTGGAAGGAATAGGATTTGTGAGAACCCCTGGCACAATGCAGGCACATAACAGGAGCGCTAGTCAGTTGTCTATTACCATTGCTGTGAAAATTGATTTCTCCCAAGAAGGACACACTCCTGTATGGTCGTAGGGCGGTACCTATGATGAAATATGGCTGGAAAGGTCTGACCCAAACCAAAGATTTAAATATGTGCAGAGACTTTCACCTTGATGTGCAATGAAAACCATTTTAAAAGTCCTTGCCTTATGGACATGAACAGAAAATTCAGGGGGAAACCGCAAATGGCCAAGAAACACATTAAAAAGGTGTTCAGTTTCACATAAAGAAATGCACATCAAAATACAATGTTCATTTTCACCTATCATATTGGGAAAGTGTTTAAAAACAGTAAGTTGCAATGCTGGAAAAAGGGTAAATGCTGATAGGACTATACAGGGGCTCCACCTGAACCCTGAAGCCAGGGATTCCACTTATGGGCACCTGTCCTGGGGAGATGTGAACAGGGCTGATCACTGTCGTGTTAACTGTAACAGTGGACAACTGAAAAGGACTTAAAAATTCAACAGTAGGAACTGGAAAATTACACTACAGCTATCTTCAAATAATGGAACATCATATAATCATAATTATTTTTTGAAAAAGTTTTAAAGATGGGGAAATGCTTATGAGATACTATTGAATGAAAATAGAACTTGAAACTGTAAATTCAACATGCTTTCAATTTGGGGGAAAAATGTATATGTGCATAGAAAAAAATCTGGAAGAAAATATACACATATGTTAACAATTTCTATCTCTGAATGGTGAAATGTTTTCTGTTTCTACTTTTCCCCAGTTTTCTACAATGAACACATATAACTTTTGCAATCAGAAGAAAATAAAACAAAAGGCCCTTCCCTAGCTTAGTGGAGTAAGTTCCTGGAAAAGGAACTGTGCCCGGGATCAGGAATGAAGTCCTTTTGGTGTCTTTCTCTTCCTAGTCTCTGTCCAGGAATGTTATTAGCAGAGCTTGCCCAAGTGAGTCCCCACAACTACAGGTGTCAGGATCCTCTGGAACAGCAATTCTCAAATCCATATTGTGCACATGAATCACGGAATTGCCGGGGACCCCAAATGCAGAGGCCACGGCAGGACCCAGATTCAGCATTTCTAACTAGGCCCAGGTGGTAGATCCAAAGACCACACTTCCAGTTGCAAGACTACAACTCTCCAGGTATGAAGGGAAGGAGTCTGTAGTTTTAACAAGCTCCCTGGGTCATTCTGGTGCATGGTCAGTATTTGAGAAACACTGACATTAGAACTTCTGGGCAACATCACAAGCTTGCCCCGATAATAGTAAGAGGTCCCTGCTGGCTCTGGGATCCCCCTAACTAGGCAAGTGCCACAAATTCAATGAGGCCATGCAGGTAAGGGAGGTGCAAAGATTCCAGAACTGTTCTATCTCATCAGATCAGTGGGAGGAGGTACACAGTTGCTTGGTTTATTATTTTTCTTTCTTTTTTCTCTTTTTAAAAAATATATCCTTTATTGATTTCAGAGAGAGGAAGGGAGAAGGGAGAGAGAGATAGAAACATCAATGATGAGAGAGTCGTCACTGATCGGCTGCCTCCTGCACGCCCCCGACTGGGGACGGAACCCGCAACCCAGGCATGTGCCCTGATCAGGAATCAAACCCCCATCTCCTGGATCCTAGGTCAACGCTCAACCGCTGAGCCACGCCCGGCCAGGCTTATTACTTTTCTTTAACCTCTGTGTATTCATTATGTACTCTTGAATGTGAGATACAAACTTATAAAAAGGAGGTAGTGTAGGGTAACAGACTGAGCCAGGGAAGGAGGGTAAAGAGGACCAGGTTTTAAGACTTCTGCCATCCGCTTGGGACAAGTCACTTCTTATCGACAAGGGAAACAAAAATAATCCTGCCTTTTCTTCCATACAGGACTGTAGGGAGTGGTGTAGTAGAAAGAAGACTAGCTCGAGTTTGGGTCCTGGCTTTCCACCTGCCTCTCAGCCTCAGCTTTCTCATCAGCGGATTGGGAACAATAGTCCTGGCCCCTCCCCTCCTCCAAGGGCTCTGGAGGCTGAGGCAGGGAGCAGGCGTGTGTGCTCAGTAGACCGCCAGGCGACGGCAGGCCCAGCGCTCTCATTACCTTGATAGCATCGCCTGTGACGCTGTCCCACTCGCCACTTATCACTTGCTGCCTGATACTGTCACACTGTTAAGACTCTTCATGGCTGTGTGTCTTATCTCCCTCACCCAGACTATGAGTGCAGAGGGTCTGTGTCTCTCATCTGGGTATTTTATTCACTGTGCCCAGCGTGACGCCAGGCACACAAAGGCAGCACACAGTGGGTGGACCAAGCGGCAGCTCTGTCATGCCACAGAGCAGCAGTGGGGGCCTGGTTCCACCCGACTCACTGGCCGCATGGCACCTTTCCAGCTCTCACACTCTCACTTGCAACACTGTTGTGAAGAATGAAATAAGTAAGGGGGAGAAGCCAGCCCAGTGCCCACATTAAGCAAGGTCTCAATAACGATTTTGTGAGGGGCAAATTCAAGTGCCTGTAAAAGGAACATGCTACACAGGTTGGTGATTAAGCCTGCTCAGGTCCCCCACCCATGCCCAGCCCTGGGAGATGAACTCCTGCCATACCAAAGGTTGGTGACGATGAAGAGGTCACCCTTATAGCTCCATGACTTAGGGACACATGAGATGCCACACCCCTCCTTTCCCATGCCCTCCCAGTTCCCTCCGTCCACTTACCCTGTCGGACCCAGGACACGAAAGGGGTAGGGTCAGCAGAGGCCACACATTCCATCACCACACTCTGTCCAGACACCACTGTGGTGTTCTCCGGAGCTGCCACAATGACCACGTCCTGCCCCCTGGTAGATGCCAGGGACCCTGAAGAGAGGGCAGACCAGCAGGCAGTTTTACCATTAGGCGTCTTCACCTGTGTTCCTCCCCTGATGCCCCTGGTGAGGAAGGTGGGGCTGGAAGCAGCCAGGGTTCCATCTGGCAGATGGCAAAAGCAGCCAGAGTTCCACAGAGCTGGGCCTCGGACTCGGAGCTCTTTCTCTTGGAGCCAGGAGAGGGATAACCTGGTCTCCAACACCAACCC